CTGATCCTTCATAATTCTGTCCGTCAGTCCCGAATATGCATTAAAAAAAGAACCATGTCCTTGACTAAAAGCCTATAGTCTGAATGCTCTTGCTGTGCATGTACTCAATCTATTTAGGAGATTAATCAGATTCTAGCCATTGCATGAAAACACACACACACACTTCCCCATAGGAATATATATATATATATATTTTTTTTTTGCTATATATATAGCAAATCTAGATGAAAAACTGGGATAGCTACCTACTGTAATTAAGATATAAGAGCATTTATGAGTTATTCTATCTTTTTCCAAGTTAAAAACTTCAGGAATCAAAAAGAAATGAATGTGAGATTGGAACACCATATTAGTTATAACAACTGTACAGTAAAGAATTATTTACATATTTAAAATATAAAAAATAGGCATGCAGGAATCTGTGTTTGACTATGCTGATTCAATTCTCAATGTGCTGCCTATAAGGTTGAAGACCCAAGCCAGGCTCCTTGGACCACTCCCTGATATATCTTCTGAATGCCAGATGATTAGATTCCAACAGAATTCAAGGCACCTGTAATATTAACTTCAAAATAATCCAAGGAAGAAATCGATGTGTAGAAAAATGACCCATAGAAACCAATTTATAGAGTTTCAAAGAAAGAGGGAGAGAGAGAGATGTTATTAATGTTGAAACATTTCAATGAAAAGTAAGTCTAGATTGAAATTCTTTGGGTCTGCCCGATATTTAGATTTAATGGTAAAAATGAAAAATTACTTTAAGCAACAGAAATATAGGAATGGTCAAAATTTCATCTCTAAAAGTAAATTTATTTTAACTTGATTTAACCAGGTGAGTTTATGAGTAAAAGGCACTCTGCTAGGCATTTGGGGGGATACAAAGATGAATGATAAATGTGTCCTATGTCTTGAGAGGTTTAGAATTTAGCAGCAGAAAGAAGATTTATAGAAATAGCTATGCTATAAAAGGGGCAAAATACTATGTTACCTCCGGTGGGAGTGGGGGGGGGAGTTATGGGAGGATTATAAACAACTTCATGGCAGAGGTGAAAATCAACCAAACTCTGAAGCAGTAGAAGGATTTTGACTGACCAGGTTCACTGAAGGGAGAAGTCTATCTCTACAGAGAAGTGTTATGGGTTGAATTGTGTTTCCCAGAAAGATATGCTGAAGTTCTAACTACTGGAATCTGTGAGTGTGTCTTAGGCACACTCTATAAGTGTGCTTATAAGAGAATACCATAGACTGGGTGGCTTACAAACAACAGAAATAAGTTTCTCACAGTTCTGGAGGGTGAAAGTCCAAGATCAGGATGCCAGCATGGTCAGGTTCTGGAGAGAGCTCTCTTCCAAGCTGCAGACTACCATCTTCTCATTGTATCCCAATGGTGGAAAGAGAATGAGGGAGCTCTCTGGGGTTCCTTTTATAAGGGCACTAATCTCATAATGAGGGCTCCACTATGGTGACCTAATTACCTCCCAAATGCCCCACTTCCTAATACCATCATATCAGGGGTTGGAATTTCAACATATGAATTTTGGGGGGACACAAACATTCAGTCCATAATAGAGTATGACTTCTTTGGGAATAGGATTTGCAGATATAACCAAGCTAAGATGAGTCTGGCCCAAATCTAATAACTGGTGTCCTTACAAGAAATGGGAAATTTGGATATTGACACACAGGAGAGAAGGCCAGGTGAAGATGGAGGCAGAGATAGGAGTAATGTGTCTACAAGCCAAGGACCACCAAGGATTGCCAGCAACCACCAGAAGTTAGAAGAGCCAAGGAAGGATTCTTCTCCTAGAGCCTTCAGAGAGAACATGACACTGCTGACACCTTGATTTTGGACTTCTAACCTCTAGGAATGTGAAAAAGTATATTTCTGTTGTTTTAAACTACTCAATTTGTAGTGCTTTGTTATAGTAGCCCTAGGAAATTAACACGAGAAGGAAAAAGATGTGGCTCAGAGATGGTAACTGTGGAGCTTATTTTGAAAAGCTGAAGAGTAGATTGGCTGGAGAGTAGTGTGTATAAAGTGGATTGGCTGGAGAGTAGTGTGTATAAAGACCAATAGTAGAGATTATGTATAGGGCAAAAAAGGTACAGATTGTGGAGTTTTAGGCCTTCATCTGTAGCATATAAAGTCTTATTAGGAAAGGGAGTACTAAAGTTTCAGAATATGCTGGAAGAATAGGCTGGAAGAAATGGGAGCAGTTATCAGGCTGTTGTGATATTTGACACAAGAGGTGATATCTGACACAAGAGGTGATATCCTAGACAGCAGCAGTGGTCTTGGAAATAAAGTGATAGATTTGAGAGAGGTGGAGATAGTTGATGGAACCTGGAGACTAATTAGGTGAAGGAGGCACAAAAATAATTTATACTTTTTGAATCTGGGGGATAGGATGGGAGCATGGAGATACCACTATCAGAGAAAGGAAACCCAGGAAGTAGAGTTGGTTTTGGAGAATGTGTTGAGAAAAGCTTAGCTTTTAGTAAATGTTGATGTCTAGCAGTATGTTGGAAATGTGAACTGCAGTATTTGCTGGGTTAGGAATAGAGATCTGGGAGCCATCTGCACTGAGGAGATTGTCAAGGGCCTGGAAAAGGTTAAGATCACCAAGTGAGTTGAATGAACATAAATGTAAGAGTTGAACATTGGGGAAACACCTCTATTTATGGGGTGAGAGATGGAAGAGGCAAAGACAAATTAGAGATGCAAGAGGGTAACCAAGATCAACCCAAGTCAAGGAAGTCAAGGAACATGTTTTATGAAGGAACTGATGATCAGTGAGATAAAATGCTGCAGAGAGATTGAGGAGGACACAACTCAAAAGAAGTAATCAGATACAGGGATTGGAATGTCAATAGTAATTTATGATACGACAAATTCAAATTAGTGGTATGAGAGATCACTTTCAAAGGGTTTAGGAATGATTATGGGTGAGAGTGGCTAATATGTGTAGATTATTCTTTTGACAGGTTTGGCACTAAATAGAAGGAGAAAGATGAGAAGATTTTTGTTGTTCTTGTTGTTTTAAGGTAGAAACATATATGAGCATATTCATATGTAAAAGGAAAGGAATCAGGGATTTAGGAGATGTATAAAAAACAAATCAGAGTGGTATAACAGAGGGAACAGAGCACTGCAGGGGAGAGAGGTGGATTTGGATCATGGCAGAGAGAGAAAAACTAGCTTTGAAAAAGAGATGGGGCACTTTTCCATCTGAGACAGGAGAGGAGATGATGGGAAGTGTTATAAGCCACTTGGATGTGGAAGGAGGAAACTGAAATTCATGTTAGAAAGTCTCTTCTCAGTAAAGCAAAAAGCAGGTCAACTTCTGAAAGAGATGTATGGATGAATGGGTTGCAAACTTAAGGGATGGGAAAGATGGCATCTTTGGGAATATGACAGAGAGTGAATAAAAGGATTGCTAATAGGCCCAGCTGAGGTGGTAGCTACAGTGCTAATTGACAAATTTTAATTGACACGATGCAACTTTCTCCAGCAAAGTCTACAAGCCTGAGAGAGGTTGGCAGGTGGAAAAGCAAAAGATGATGAGAGGCTGGGGTTGGTTATAGGCCAGGTAAGTATAAGAGAAGCTCAAAAAACACGGGACCCCATGGTATAGTAAAGACTAGGTTAGAATAGAAATTTGAAAAGACCTTTTGAGTGGATATCCTTGTCCTTGCACTTCAAAGTAACCTAAAAATAGTGAAAGAATATAGAATTTTAAAACTGAAGGTAAAGGATAAAAATTGTGCTCCTTCCTTCCTTCCTTCTCTCTTTTAATTTATTCATTCACTAAATAAATAATTTGCTGAATGCCCCTCCATGCCAAGGCATGGGGAAAGAAGGTCTGGTCTATAAGATTAGGTTGCTTACCCTTGAGTGTCTGAAATAACAAGAATAATAAACACTCACTCAACTTGCACTATCTACTAGGAACTGCTGTAAGTGCCTGTATACATGTTAACTCCCTTAGTACTGTAACCTCTGGAGGTAGGAAGAATTATTATGCCCCATTTCATTAATGAGGGGTACCTAACTCCAGAGAAGTTAAGTGACTTGTCAGGGTCACATAGCTAGTTGCCAGCAGGCCTGGGATTTATTTTATTTTATTTATTTTTGAGACAGAGTCTCACTCTGTTGCCCTGAGTAGAGTGCCGTGGTGTCAGCCTAGCTTACAGCAATCTCAAACTCCTGGGCTCAAGCAATCCTCCTACCTCAGCCTTCCAAGGAGCTAGTACTACAAGCATGCACCACCACGCCCAGCTAATTTTTCTATTTTTAATAGAGACAGGTCTTGCTCTTGCTCAGGCTGGTCTCAAAACCCTGAGCTCAATTCTCCTGCCTCAGCCTCCCAGAGTGCTAGGATTATAGGCATGAGCCACCAAGACAGGCCCCAGAGCTAGGATTTCATAAGTCTGGCTCCAAAGTCTATGCTCTTATTCATGACGCTATATGAACTAAAAAGGTTTTGAAATGAGCTATAAGTAGGATGATTACATACTCCAATCATTTTGGCACAGTCTCAGTTTATGCCTGTTGTCCCAGCAAAAGTGTTCATTGTACCCCCTTCCAATAAAGGTTTGGAGGATAAATTATATTGTTGAGTTTTTCTTCAAACACTTCATTGTTGGCTCACGATGAACAGAGACTGAGAACTGTAAGACATTCAAGAAGCATAAGTGAAATGGCTCCCACTTTCCATGACAGACAGCCTCAAGACCCACAAGATCTAGCCTCTTTGATCCCTTGGTGAGATCATAGCCCTTTCCCGTCCCTAGTGGCCACTGTACCCCTAAGCACTTTAACCCTACTGGTTTCAATTAAAGGAGAAACACAGAAAGGCAAATTCTCTAAGCTGCCACCAAATGGAGTTCTGCACACCCATTCTTTAAGCAGTAATGGAAATTGAACACACAAAACCCTACAGCAAATCTGTCCGCCCATCTCTCTCTTCCTCATCTCCTTTTCTTTCTTTTTCCCCCAGGCCAGCACTCCAGTGTTCGCTCCAAACCTCAGGCATAATAACCACATGTCATACAGATGTACAGCCTCGGCCAGAGCTGGTATCAGGCTGACGCCAGACCATTTGCAGTAATTTCGGCTGTTTTGTGGCTGTTGGTCATGTCTTCATTTCCTGAACTCCTCCTTTTGTCTTCAGCCTCCAGTGGGAAGCTGAGAAATTGGTACCAGCGACGTGGATCTGGTACCCTGCAAAAAAAGGTAGTGCTCTTTCTTATTGCCAAATTAGCAACCTTGGAAGATTTAAAGATATACATTCAACTCCATGTGGATGATTTAAAAATGTATCACTTAGTTTTCTAATGCTCACTGATGACAGGCACTTATGCAACATTGTGATTCAGCTCTTACTCCAGTAATACTATTTAAAATACTGCAACATGCAAAAATGATGGTAACATCTAGGTCGGAACAAGCAGAGAACCAGCTCAGGAAACTGAACAGAAGACATACATCCAGGGTTTTCAATATCCTGCCAAGTGACCACTGTTTTTTGTAAGACTTCATTACTCTTGAAAGTTTAAACATGCTGGTCCACAGAATTCTCTTATTATTTCTCAGACTGCTTTTTCTATAGTCTCCTCTGTCTGTCCTGGGTCCTCTGTTTTTCCTTCCTCTGAACTCAGTCTTGCAGTGACTTTGTGCAATCATAATGATTTCAACTACAGTTTAGATTACAAATGGCTCCAAATATACATCTGAGCTGCCTGAAGGGCATTTTACCCTTTCTCTCTTCCTTCCTTGGTAAGCTCATCCTTTAATATGATTTCAATAATAGCTAACATTTGTCATGTGTCAGGCATGAAATTGATGCATGGAACCCTGCAAGGGGTGGGAGTACTATTATCATCTTTGTCCTCCAGAGAAGGATCTGGTAAGTGGTAGAACTGAGATTTGGACCCAGGCAGTTTTGCTTCAGAACCTATGTTCTTAACCACTATACTGTAATGACTCCTCATATTCAAAACCTCCTGACTAGATTATGCCAATAGCTCCCTAGTACTCTTTCTGGCACCAGCTTAACTCAACACCGTTTTTCACATTGGGAGGTTTACTGTGTTCTCTATTGATCAAATTTAAAGTCCTCTGCTGGACCTCCAAAGTTTTCCACTGACCTTTCTGTCACCCAACCCCAATACAGACTCTATATTCCAGTTAATGATACTTGTATGCCATGCAGAATGTTCTTCCCACTTCTTTAGGCTATTTTGTCTACCTAAAATACTCTTCCTACCTACTCTATGGGAAAAGAGGATTTACGTCTTTTAGGATGTTTTCCCCAACTAACTACAAATGTAAGGGTAAATTATGTATAGTCAGGGATGCTGTCTTCTATTTCTTTATATTTCCTATAGAGTCTAGTAATGTTTACCACCTAATAGATATGCAATAAAGATTGTTAATATACTGACATAACCATCCTAACCAACACTGGGAAGAACTTGAGCCAGATAGCTGAGACACACAACTTAATACTAATAATTACTAGAGACCAGAGTGTAGGTCTTCACCTATGGTGGAGGAAGCGGGGGAGTGGAGCTTCTGTACTATTTCTAGGCCTGTTTATTTTCAAATCCATTCCTCAATTTCCCCTTGTTTTGTTCTGTGTGGCTGGGAGCTGATCCCCTGCAGGCTGCCTTGCTAGGTTCTCAAGTCAATTGGCTTCCAGCTAGGTTCAGCTAAGAGGAGGAGTTGGAGGGGGGACTGAGTGTGGAAGGAGAAACCACGCCTTCCACTCTGTTTTGGGATAGGACTCCAGCCCCAGCTCAACCACATGGGCCTTCCACAGTTCCAGTTTCCAAGAGATGACGTTGGGCTCTGTGCTCTTGTAGCACCACCTCCTCTTGTCTCTGCAGCCTAGGGATGGTGTTGTTACCCTCACCACTCCCACTGGTTTCTCCATTTCTCCATGTAATAATTCCCTATACTATAAATTCATGAAGTGCTCTGTTTGCCTGGTTAGACCCTGAAAGAACAAGCAACTTTTTTTTTTTTTTTTTTTTTAAGACAGCGTCTCACTATATTGCCAGGCTGGTTTTGACCTCCCGGCCTCAAGTGATCCTCCTACCTTGAACACCCAAAGTGCTGGGATTTACAGGCATGAACCATCGTGCCTGGCCTATTTTGTTTTTTATTATTATCCCAATAGAATCATGGAAAAACTCTTCCGTCAAAACTAAATCCCTGTCAAGCTACGATTACTTTCTGTCCTCTGGTTGTTTGACGAGGAGGTGAGATCTGCCCACATGCAGTAAGTTCACACATAAAAAGATAAAGGTGACATGACTGTAACAATGGCATATAGCCTGTAAGAGAGTACTGATGTAACATGTTTCAAACTTAGAAGTCTTCAATCCCTGAGGTTGTCTATTATAAATAATATTTATATATACCACAAATACAATAGCTTTGTAAGCAGCAAGATTTGGTAAAAACAAACAAACAAAAAAACCCCAGGAGAGATTCTTTTATAATTTCATAGGTAGATGAGACTAACTCAACCTACAGATTATGACTCTATCGTATTATTTTATTGGTGTATTTAAAGGGACTAGTTTAATGTTTTATCCTCAAACGGGTGTGTTCACATTGCTGTAGGAAATGGTGCAAACACTTTCAGCCTCTACACAGATTCCAAGATAAAGCCTGTCCACAAAATCAGCCATAAATCTCCCTGTGCCAATCCAGCTAGAACCATCCGGTGAGCAAACAAGACCGTCATCATCATCACCTGTGTTTGTGAGCATCCTAGCTCTGCCCTGTTCCCAGCATTTTTCAACTATGTCCTCTAGAGAGATTCTTGGGAGTATTTTTATTATTAGATAAGCCTTTGAAGTTCCTGCCTGGATATAACTTCTTTGCTATGGAAGAAAATAAATAATCAACATAACCACCTGTACATTTGGTCACTTAATAAATATTCATTGGTCACACCCACTGTGTGAGATGGACTACTTCATAAATTCCCTGTCGGGGGTGGACATGTGAGTACATTATGGTTCAAGTTTCTTTTTCTGACTTGGAACAGGGGAAGGTAAAGCCAGTTTCAAAAATCTTAATGTATAGTGAATGCCTTTTTTAAATGTTCAATTGAGAGACATTTCTGATCTGAGGAGTTTCCCTCCCACTAACATGCTGAGGATCAAATTAACATGTAGGAATAAAAAACATTATGTTACCCTGAATTCAATTTTGATGTTCAAGCTGGGAAAACTGTAATTTTCCTTTGGGTGGGTTCAGAATTTTCCTTTGGATGGGTTCAAAAGCAAACCATCTCTCACAATCAATGTAATTCCTTTAAAGGTAAAGTCAAATAGTTTTACTTCCTTACATCTCTGTCTCTGCTGTTTGGGGAGTGATTTCTGGTTCTGTGTATATCTCCCCTTCTGGAAACATAAAAAGAGTGGAAAGTTGCCGTGACACTTTGATTCACTGAATAAGGAGTAAAACTAATGTAATACCAATTCCAGTGGATCCACAAGAAGAAAACCCACTTTGAGGGCCTCTGAATCACTGCAAATACTATTTGCATAAGTACAATTAGTCACAAGTACAAGAAAACACTTGTCAATTACTTTATATCCTGATCAGTCTTTAATCAGAGGCCAAGGGGATGAAAAGAAGCTGTTATGAACCTTCAAATTTCAACATATGGCCCAAATGAATAGATCTTTTTCACTACGAGGTTATAAAAAAGTCAGAATGGTCTGACCACTTCAGTTTTCTAGGGAGCAGTGATATTCAATTCAACTAACTTTTACGAGGTTCCTGCCATTTTCCACCTTCAATGCTAGTGTGGGGAGGTATGAGGTGAATGAGTTCTTATGAAATTCACAGCCTACAGAGACAAGACACCCATGAACAAGTAAACTAGAATATAAGGTATAAGTGCAACTACAGAGGTATGTTCAAAGTTATAAATGTAGCAGAGTAAAGACATGGTTAAATTGATGTCAGAAGGTCAGAGAAGGCTAGGAAAGGATGTGATTTTATGGGAGTGGGTGGCAGGAGTTGGGTGTGGGTAAACAAAAGTGAAAAATAGGCCTGGAATTAAAGGCTGCCTTCTTTCCAAACTGAGTAACACTGGGTGTCATTTTCTTCTCTTTCCTTTGGGATTGTCACTTGGGACTTTCAACAAAGGAAGAAAACTCTACTAGACCACCTCAGATGTGATGAAGAACACTGATTTTCCACCAGAATAACTGTACTCAAGTCCTAATTCTTCAATTTAATAAGCTTTGTGGCCTTGGGCAAATTGGTTAACAATTGTGAAATTCAGTTTTCACATTTGTAAAATGATGCAGTTGCATCTACTGGTGGTCCTCAAACCTTTGTATCCTGTATCCCATCAGTGATTAAACTCTGTCCACACAAGCTAATTTCTTCCTCATTCTGATCCCTCTTCCCTCCTACCAAAGAATGAAAGGGCAGGTAAGAAAACTCCTTTTTCAAACATGACAATTCCATGCCTATGGGCCTTCTATTGTCCTCTTATAATGTATCTATGATACAAGAAGTTTTAGAGAGTAAATTTTATCAAGAATCCATAAATGTTCTAAAAATCTTGGAGCCCACTTAACCTACTTTGTTTTCCTGCCGGTTAGGAATCCTTCTAGCATCTTGCTCCATGCTCCTCTTGAATGCTCAAAGTCATAGTCCTTCACTTCAGTCATCTACTGCTTTTCCAGTTCAGAAGTCTCAGGTAGGCAAAGTGAAAAAGAGAATAATCTGCACATTGGTGCTAAAGAAAAAAAAAAGCAACTGTACTGCTGATAGTAAATATCAAAGGCTAAAGATGTAAGTAGTAATCAGCCTTCCCTTTGGGACAGGTAGAGGAGGAAGCAGTCAAGAACCTTCAAGGCAGAAAGGACTCTGCAAGTCTAGGTCATAAACCTTCTGTTTGCATTGGTTTGTTAGGGGAAAGATTTCAGGTTCCTGGCACCGCATCTGGCTAAGATGATTGGGCAGCAGTGACAGACTGAAGAATAGACAACTGAAGTAGAAGTTCTGGGTTTGACCCTGCACTTTGCCATTCCCTTAACTTCTCTGCATGCCAGTGTCTTCAAATGCAAAGCAGAAATAATGACCCTCGTTTCACAACGTGGACGTGAGCATTTGATATAGATGTTTGAATATGAACTTTGGAAAAATACTCAAGGATTGGTGGAGAATCCCCAGTCGGCTGACATAGCTACTATGGCAGTTAAGATCAGGTTTTTAGTTGTGAGATATTCTAGGAATTCATGTATGTATTTATGTGTATGAATATATGTATATACACAGATACACACATACATATATATTTATGAGAGAGCAAAGGCTTGGTAAAAGGGATAGGTAAGAATATGCTACCTAATTGAATAAAATTAGTCAAAATCCTTTTAGAACAGCTAAATCAGGAAGCAAGAAGTAATATTTATTTCTCCTTTTAAGTGAGATAAAGATCTTTATTTAGTTTTCTGAAATTTGGAAGCCCTCCCATCAGCTTCCCCACAGCCCTGGTTCTCATTCCCCAAAGCAGTAAGAACAGAGTTCTCAGCTACTACATTGATGATTTATCCCAGTCACAGAGGGGACACCTGGCTAACTGAGGTTAATAGCTTTCTCAGTTTCGTTTCAAAAAGACATTAACATGGAGACTCTATGAAATGCTGATATGCCAAATACTGATTCATTCACCTGCAGAGTTCGCTATAAGGCAGGGACCTATTTGACAGGCAGGGCTGAGCTCCCAGCCTTTTCCTAAAGGGCACTCCCATAATTCATCTCCCAGTGGTGAATTATACCTGACACTTCACTGAAGACTTCAGGTGCACTCACCCAACTGCAATAAGCCTAATGCAGAAGAAGAGGGTTGGAAATGACGAAAGTATTTTTTGTGAAAATAATATAACTAATTCAATTGTGGGCGGAAATACCTTGATATAAAATATTCCCAGGCAGAATGTGCACATTTGTTTTTGTGGGGAAAGCAGATTGGCCAAGGACATAGTAGGAGCGTCCACAGCAGGACAGGGTGGCACTGGGCAGGTCCTTAGCTGGGCAACGGTCTTATGCATGGGGGTCTCTACATTGTGCATTGTACCAAAACTACATGCCCCTTGATGTTTCCTTAAACTTGGCCTGTACACCAAAGGAGTTCCAAGCTTCTTTGTCATCTGGGTTTTTCCTGCTCTATTCTTCCAAATTTGCAGGAAAGAAGCCTGTCTAAAACCTTCAAAGTCATGGGCTCTTACTGCTCCTCTACAGAGTTTTCTGTGGAGAGGTTGGGGAATATGTACATGAGAAGCAGGTCTGTCTGTTACCGTAGGCAAAGGGTGCCCCCAGCACCCAAGTGGTTTAGCTGGTGCTTACCTTCTTACCAATCATTGGTGATGTAGGCCCCAGGGGTGACTTAGTGAAAAAGAATTAAAAAATCTGGCAAATGAAGTCACTGTCTAGCTTCCTTATGGTCCTCTCCAGAACCTTCTTCCAATCTTTCAGTGTGTGCAGGGAATTGTGGGTCATTTTATTTGATGCTCTATGAAGAAACTAAGTATGCACGTGAGGCTTTAGCCTGGTGGAAGCTCAAGGGGTTTTTAAAGGAATGAGGCTGGATGTTTTGTCTCTGACCCAGAAAGTCTTTGAGCACATTCTAGGCATTGAGGATACTGCAGCAAATAGGCTGACATGGGGGTCTTCTCTCAGGGAGCTTCTGGTCTAACTTAGGAGACCTGAGCTTAGAAAGTAGAACTAAGATGACTGACCTACACAGTTAAACAGTGCCCAGCACCCAGAAGGTGCCTGATAACTGTGTGCTGAATGAAGAAATTATAAATCTGGTAAGAGCAAAGAAAAGGAACTAAACATTGTTGAGTGCCTTCTATGTCGCAGATTTCATGCTAGGTCTTTTCCACTACATTATCTGATTTGGCATAGGATGAACTGTTAAAGTCAAGGTCTGACCCTGGTGTATGGCTTCTGAGACAGTTTCTTATATGGTATACACATGAAAAACTATGTTTTTTAGTAGAAAGACCCGAAGACTAGGTGTCCATAAAATTTGGGCTTTAGTAACAATTCTATCACTTATTAATGGTATAGTCTTGGTCTTGGGAAAATCATTTATCCCCTCTGAGCCTCATTTTGTCCACATCTGTAATTTGAGGATGACAATACCTCCCTCACAGGGTGGCCATGAGGATTGGATGATATGGCGAATGTGAAAGGGCTTTGATTATAAATAAGACCCTGCTCTTTGTAAAAGAAAAATAAAATTTTACCTAGTCTACTTTTTAAGAATTCATTCTGCTTCTAAATAATGAAATTTTATGTGATTTCAACAATTCCAACAACAAAATCAGAAACAATGTTAAGGTTGGCCTGGCAGTTGTCAAAATGCTATTTGGGGACCTTATTATCAGAAAGATTCTTATAATAAACCAAGGTTCACTCAAGATAATTATTTGCTGTCTTCGTCGCTGTTTGGGGAAATGACTGATACCCTAATAGTTATTCACTTAGGTGGATACAATTAAGTTCTTTCTTTATAAATCAATTCCCTTTGCTCTATCAGCATTTCTGTGAATTTCTTTGGAAGAATTCAAATTTTTAAGCATACAAGAGCATAGCATTTCAGATTCTAACTAAAGAACAATTCTAATGACAGCATGATTTTAAGTACACTTTCCCCAATCAGTGTTGTTAACAGTTAAAATGAAAGTTGTACGTAATTGTTTTCTGGGAATCCTTTGTTCTTCTTTTAGTCATTAAAAGAGGTTAAGTATCACCTATATTTAATTTTACTCTCTACAAAAT